ATCCCAGTATACATACCGCCATTTGTAGACGCTATAACTTTCACGAAAACGTCTTTGCAAAGACATGTAGCAGAATAAATTATGACCTAAATTTTATGACGAATTTTAATGTTTTCAAATTTTTGTACTGGACATGTGTAATAGCAAAAAGTTAAAAATATTGATTTTTTTTCTTTTTTCTTAAAATTGTCGCTAATTATTTATATATATTTTTTAGTGCAAAAAATTAAAAACACATAGGCGATAAAATACCACCGAAAGAAAGCTCAATTTGTGGGGAAGAAAAAGGACATACATTTCATTTGGATGCAGTGTTGCATGACCACGCAATTGTCCGTTAAAGTAATGCAGCGCCGTAACGTAAAAAATGGCCTGGTCGGGAAGGGGGCTAAATCCTCTGGAGGGCAATTGGTTAATATTTACACAGTAGGGATCTTATTTTGCTGTGTTATATTTGCTTATTTGAGCCCTGGTTCACACTGATGCTTGTCATGCAATTTGACAGTTCCAAACTGACTTTGTGGTGCTGCATCGATTTGGGATGAGAAAAGGTTCATGTACTATTTTTTGCGATTTCATGTGCGGCTTGCGTACACATGCATCAAGTCACACATGGAATTGAACTAAAAACTACGGCTTTGAAATCGCGCTACTTAAAGTGAAGTTGTGCAACTTCAAAGTCGCATTCAGAGTGAACCCTGGTTGGAGTACACTGTTTTTTGTTAATTTGTGTGATGGTGTAGAACCATGTTATTTCATTTTTTGGCTTCATCTTCTATTACCTTCTCCTGGTGGCATATGACACTATCTCAGCCTTGTTCTTTTCTTCCGTTAAGTTAACTGTGTTTGAGGTCACATGCTCCTCCCATTCACTTTAGTATTTGTGATGGATTTGGATGGAGCAACAGAGCTGGGGGGGGGGGGCGGATAGCATTAATGGTGTGTTGGCCATTGGGCTAGAAAGAGGCTTGATTTGCTTTGCCCCAAGTTGCCAAAGGGCCGTATTTTAAAGCAGAACTGTACCCATGATATAAAATATAATGATCTTTAGCAAGGAACATGCATTCCACACTAATATTCATACTACCTAAATTAGTGTGTGCTGTAAATTGCCTTCAGCATTGTTCCCATTTCTTCTTGCCAGACTTACCCTTTTGCTGAAGCCCAGAGCTCTGAAATCAGTAAATCTTTAGGCTGTCAGCAGATCGGCACAGTGCTGAAAAATAGCAACTGAGCATGTACAGAGCAGGGTAAGACAGTATATTACTGGATAGGCACAGGTTTTACATAACTATACGTGCAAAAGAGGCCTGAAGTGACTAATTTCTGACTTAATGTTTCTGACTATCAAAGACTTAATGGTTAATCCATGATTGATTTACTAATACAGTAATGCTGGTTTTCTTGGTTTTCACTGACTGCCATTAGGTATCAGGATGAAATCCTTGGACCCATTGTTAGAACCTGCACTGCTGCAGTGGGTCCTGGGTTCCTCCTGGTGCACGACAATGCCCGGCCTTATGTGGTGAGAGTATGCAGGCAGTTCCTGGAGGATGAAGGAATTGATACCATTGAATGGCCCCCATGCTCGCCTGACCTAAATCCAATAGAATACCTCTGGGATATTGTGTTTCGGTCCATCCGACGCCGCCAGGTTGCACCTCAGGCTGTCCATGAGCTCAGTGATGCCCTGGTCCAGAAATACCCCAAGACACCATCCGCCATCTCATTAGGAGCATGCCCCGATGTTGTCAGGCATGCATACAAGCATTTGGGGGCCATACAAGCTGAGTACCATTTTGAGTTGCTGCAAGGAAATTTCAGCAAAATGGACTATTTCAGCAAAATGGACTAGCCTGCTGCATAATTCTTTTTCAGATTTTCGCGGTGTCTTTGAATTCAGTCCTTTGTAGGTTGATTATTTTAATTTCCATCAAACAATGGGGCAGCCTTATGTTCTGAACACACATCACCCAGTCCATATCAGTATAGATATCCAGCATGATATTTTGTGTAATTTTTTAATATCTGTTATTTTAACTGCACATATGAATTATTTCCTTCACCTACCTACTACCAGACATTGTAGATATTAAACCTGCCAACATGGAAGAGCTGACAGAGGTGATCACAGCAGCAGAATTTCACCCACATCATTGCAATACTTTTGTATACAGCAGCAGCAAAAGGCACCATCCGTCTGTGTGACATGCGAGAATCTGCGCTGTGTGATCGCCACTCTAAATGTACGTCACATATTCTATCATGTCCTAGGGGTTGTGAAAACTATATGCAGAGACCTGCTTTTGTTTTTTGGCACTAGAAATATGCAGGTCTCTGCAAGGGCACACAAAAAAGTATTGTTTTCTATGTGTCCTGACCACACCAAAAAGTCTTGTTTCATGTGAGGTAGTCGTGCAAAAATATGTTTCATGTCTACATTTTTCCACACTGCAGTGTATATAAAAGCATATAAAATTACACAGGAAAAAGGGAGGAAATGCATTTTTTATGTACGTTATGGTGTGAACAAGGCCTAATTGTGTGATTCAAGTGCATGGGAGGTCACTTAGTATGTCATAAATGAACCAGGAGCACAGCTTTAGCTCCTTAGTGTTTTGAAGCTTCCTTGTTTAGTTTGTAGGTTTTGCTGTCACTCAGGCATATAATGGTTGGGCACAGACAAGTTTTCAGTGTGTCGGGTATATGACTGTTCACTGCTTTTCTATTGTAGTTTAAATATTAAAGCAGTGTTAAACCCAAAAGCAAACATTTTATTATATTGCAGTATACCAATTCTAAGATGTGATGGCTACATTAGTTTATTTTTCTTAAGCTTTCTTTCTTCTATTTTCATATGGTGATCCAAGCAGTAAGTCTGTTGTGGTTTTTTTTTTTTTTTTTTTTCTTTTTGTTTTTTAAAGCTCTCCTGCAGATGTAGCAGCTACAGGTTTGCTGTAACTCATTATAAAATGTGATGGAGTTTGGCTTCAATTTGTTAGTGTATTTAAATCTGCTAGTCCATCTAACACCTCCGCCCTTCCCCCAGATTGACAATACTTCTGTCCAAAGGTGCTCCTTCAGAGTGGAGGCACTCTTAATACAGGAAGTGTGTTACTGGTCAGATCAACAGCTGAAAGAGCGAAAAAAAAAAACTAATGCAGCCACCACCACATGATTGATATGCTGCCATATATTACATTTTGGCTTTGGGTGTAATACTGCTTTAAAGTACAGACATGATTAACATAAATCACTCCTGCCCAAGTAATCAAATATTGATTGGACAGTCTACTAATGCTGGGTACACACAGGCTGAAACGGTTGGTTAGGCAGAAACCAGCCAACTTTTGGCCCTTGTGAACGAATTAATGAATTTGTAGACGTTATAACTTTCACTTAAATTAATTAGTATACAATTATTGAATTTTTGTAGCAAAGACATGTAGCAGAATACATTTTAGCCTAAATTTATGAAGACCTTTTTGATTTTTTTTTTTGTTACTGGACATGTTTTATAGCAAAAAGTCAAAAATGTATATATTATTTTTCAAAATTGTCGGTCTTTGTTTATAGCGCAAAAAATAAAAACCGCAGAGGTGACTAAATACTACCGAAAAAAAGCTCTATTTGTTGGGGGGGGACATAAATTTCATATATGTACAATGTTGCATGACTGCACAATTGTCAGATAAGGTAATGCAGTGCCGTATAGCAGAGAAAAATGGCCTGTTCAGGAAGGGGGGGTAAATACTCTGGAGGGCAAATGGTGAAATGAAGCCTTCCAGTGGTGTGCTGTCACTGCTGAGGATGCTTCCATCTTTGCCTGGTCTTCTTTGCAGGTTTGCGGGCTGCAGCCACTTGACTGGCCAAGCCACGATTACATCTTTCCTGTGCATACACACGGGACTCTTGGCCGCAGCACACAACTCTGAAGGAGCAGCACAGGTATGCCATTCCTTCAGAGCGTATGCTCCATTGATGTGTCTGGCTGCTGTTCTCTGGAATATCTCCTAAGCAGTGCAGGTTTAGGAGATATTTATTTTACCTAAAGGTAAGCTTTATTATAAGCTTACCTGTAAAAAATATAAAAAGAAAAAATTTACTACCGTAAACACTTGCCTGTTTACAGTTGTCCTCCAGGTTTGACTGTCACACTGATTTGCTTCGATTTCCGATCCTCTATTGTTTTTGTTCGAGCAAGAGCAGCCAGTGAGTGTTCTGCCTTGCACAGACATTCTCTTTAGCAGCATGGATGTCAAGTAAAAAAAATTCTGAAACTTTGAAATACTATTCCTCCAGGACCCACTTTTGCTAGATACCATGGCAGCTAGTTAAACACATAATATCAGCTGAAAGGAAGAATCCTGGTTTAGTTTGCTGAAAAGAAAGTGTGTGTATGTGTGTGTGGGGGGGAAATCAGCCAAAGAGCAGGTGACTAAATGGTCTAAGCTGTTGACACATGACCAGTTACTGGTCAGAGCAGTGGTTTCTGCGAAGGACTTAACTCCCTGCGTTTGGTAGCTAGCATGATTTTTAGAAAAAAGGGGTATTGTTTTGATGAGACCTGAACTGTAATTAAGTGATTTCTTTTTCTTTTTACAGTTGGAGCTAAAAAAAAATACTTCTCTGGGAATTGTCTTCAATCTTTTAGAGTTGTATCATACTAAACATTTTTTGGAAATGGTATTTGAAATATTTAATTTAGAAATGGTATTTGAAATATTTAATTTACTAGTTTTATCTTGTTCGATGGTCTATAACTTACATTTTTATATTTGACTCGTTAGTTTGCACTTGTTAATTTGCGTTCTTGTTTTTTTCTTTGAGCTATTTAATTTACATTTTTTATCCCTTTAGTGTTTGAAGAACCAGAAGATCCCAGCAATAGGTCATTCTTCTCAGAGATCATCTCTTCCATATCAGATGTGAAGTTCAGCCACAATGGCCGATACATGATGACCAGGGATTACTTGTCCGTCAAAATCTGGGACTTGAACATGGAAAGCCGTCCCGTGGAAACATATCAGGTAAACGGGATGTAACCTGTGCTAGAGGACTTCCGGATTGATTCCATTTAAAGAAAAAGTGGGTTGTGTCCATCCCATTACAAGCAGATAGGTTGATTGCTGTGGACAAACACAGTTTTTGCTTTCTTCCAGTTTTTTATGTTCCAGCATTTTTTTTGGATCAGTTAATAAGGTCTCTCTAGTAATGGAACCTATGTTCTAAATTGAGAAATGAGGGTTTTAAAATATGAGTTCTGATTTAGACATTTGTTGAGAATGATCTATAATCCAGCATAAATATGTATATATCACGATTAGTGATGCAACTGTCTCTCCATCACAGGTACATGAATACCTCAGAAGTAAATTGTGCTCCTTATATGAAAATGACTGCATTTTTGACAAGTTTGAGTGCTGCTGGAATGGACCTGACAAGTAAGTTTTGTTACACTAAACCTTGTGTGTGTTGGCCTAGCACTACTCACCTGAGCTGTGTAGAGTCTGTTTTACATATTAATGAATAACTTCTAAACAATAGATAGATATGGGGCATACCTACATAGTCCCCTCCCAGTGCCTGAACCAGTCTGCAGGCCCAAGAGCGGTCACTTGGTGCCATGGGGCGAACATTGCCCAATGCAGTTATTGACTTTAGAAGGTGAGTATTTAAAAAGTGTGGGATTAAAAAAGAAAACATACATGCTCACATAGGTGAATGCAGCAGCAGTCTGTTCCCACCGCCTCTAAGACTGAGTATTGAACTCACTGGATCACCGGGGAGGTAAGTGGGCAGGAGTGGCTGGCTCAGGCTGTCAGAAGCACACCGAGAGGCTGAGCCAGCTGATGGTCAGGCATCTGGGTGGATCCTGACATTTAGAGTGAAGGAAATAAGTATTTCATCCCCTGCTGATTTTAAATGTTTTGCCCACTCACAAAGAAACTATCAGTCTAAAAATTGAATGTTCGGTGTATTGTAACACTGAGAAACAGAATAGCAACAAAAAATTCAAAAGCAATGCATGTCTAACAAATTATACACTGATTTGCATGTTCATGAGGAAAATAAGTATTTGATCCCCAATCATTCAGCAGGATTTCTGGCTACCAGGTGTCTTTCATACAGGTAACAAGCTGAGATTAGAAGCAGTCTCTTAAAGGGAGTGCTGCTAATCTCATTTTGTTACCTGTATAAAAGACACCTGTCCACAGGAGCAATCAAACAATCAGATTCCAAACTCTCCACCATGGCAAAGACCAAAGAGCTGTCCAAGGATGTCAGGGACAAGATTGTAGATCTACACAAGGCTGGACTGGGCTACAAAACGAATGCCAAGCAGCTTGGTGAGAAGGTGACATTTGATGCAATCATTCGCAAATAGAAGAAACACAAAACAACTGTCAACCGTCTCCCTAGGTCTGGTGCACCATGCAAGATCTCACCTCGTGGAGTGTCCATGATCGTGAGAATACTGAGGAATCATCCCAGAACTACACGTGAGGATCTTGTCAATGATCTCCAGGCAGCTGGGAACACAGGCACCAAGAAAACAATTGGTAACACACTACGTCGACAAGGATTGAAATCCTGCAGTGCCCGTAAGGTCCATCTGCTCAAGAAAGCACATGTCCATGCTCGTCTGAAGTTTGCCACTGAACATCTGAATGATGCAGAGGAGGAATGGTTGAAAGTGTTGTGGTCAGTTGAGACCAAAATCGAGCTCTTTGGCATCAACTCAACTCGCCGTGTTTGGAGGAGGAGGAATGCTGCCTATGACCCCAAGAACACCATTCCAACTGTCAAAACATGGTGGTGGAAACATTCTGCTTTGGGGATGTTTTTCTGCTAAGGGGAAAGTCAACTGCGCCGCATCAAAGGGACGATGGTCGGGTCAATGTACTGTCAAATCTTGGGTGAGAACCTTCTTCCCTCAGCTAGGGCATTGAAAATGGGTCGTGGATGGGTGTTCCAGCATGACAATGACCCAAAATACACGGCCAAGGCAACAAAGGAGTGGCTCAAGAAGAAGCACATTAAGGTCCTGGAGTGGCCAAGCCAGTCTCCAGACCTTAATCCGATTGAAAATCTGTGGAGGGAGCTGAAAGTTTGAGTTGCCAAACGTCAGCCACCAAACCTTAATGACTTGGAGAGGATCTGCCAAGAGGAGTGGGCCAAAATCCCTCCTGAGATGTGTGCAAACCTGGTGGTCAACTACGTCTGACCTCTGTGATTGCTAACAAGGGATTTGCCACCAAGTACTAAGTCATGTTTTGTAAAGGGGATCAAATACTTATTTCCCTCATGAACATGTAAATCAGTGCATAATTTGTTAGACATGCATTTCTTTTGAATTTTTTGTTGCTATTTTGTCTCTGTGTTACAAAACACCTACCATTCGATTTTTAGACTGATCATTTCCTTGTGAGTGGGCAAACATTCAAAATCAGCAGGGAATCAAATACTTATTTCCTTCACTGTAAGTCAGTATCTCTTCAGAGTCTTGATTAGGTGACTACAGGTCACAGCAGTGCAGGAACTGTGACCCACATGAGAAGTAGGCCCATGAGAATATTGACCTTATTTCTTTTAGTTGAGATTTCTCCTAGGGCAACAGGCTGGGGAAATGGTCAATTCTGTCCGTGTGGATGCTGGTAATTTAGGTGTCTACTTTAACACTACATGGTTTAGTAGGAAGTAATTAGGGTGATCTTAAAAGTACAACTGTACTTTACTTTATCCCCCCCCCCTCTTTTTCCTTTATCACTACATGATTGAGTAGGAACCAGTTAGGGTCACATTAAAAGTACAACTGTACTTTAAATTTGTTTTCATTGCTCTTGGGAGCATTCTTTAATTTTCATCATTATGCCCCAATGCATCCCAAGAATGAAATTTATAAATATGTAGGGAGTTCATTTCCTCTAAATCCTCCAATAAAAAAGAATGAGAAAAGAAAGGCCCTGAAACTTGTACACAGGTTTGGAGACCTAATAATAAGACTTGCATTTTTGCTGTGGAATATACAGTGTTTTAAACTTTTGTTTACTGCAAAAATCAAATATGGATGACTGCACTGATTAAGAGCCTCTTGGCAAGAAACATATCAACCGTTTCTCTTTTCTTGTGTCGGTGTGATATTGCGGATGTTTTAAATGTTTCAGTAAAGGAGTTGGCATTTAACAGACATCAGTGTGCGGTAATCCATATTTGATTTCTGAAGTTCTGTGGTTGCGAGCTGGACCTGCACGTGACTATTCCTGGGGTTTAAGCTGGGTGGACCGACCTGAAGCGGTGTATGAGTGTTTGTGTTTTAAACTACTATTTTTCTCCTGCAGTGTTGTCATGACTGGGTCCTACAACAACTTTTTCCGAATGTTTGACCGCAGTACCAAGCGTGACATTACTCTGGAAGCCTCACGGGAGAACAGCAAGCCACGCATGGTGCTGAAGCCACGCAAAGTGTGTGCGAGCGGCAAGCGAAAGAAAGATGAGATTACGGTAGACAGTCTGGACTTCAACAAGAAGATCCTGCACACGGCCTGGCATCCTAAAGAGAACATCATTGCTGTGGCCACCACCAATAACCTGTATATATTCCAGGACCGAGTGAATTAGTACTGGCCTTTCTGAGTGGGACAGTCCTTAGTCCACCTAGTTCCAATAGTCAAGCCTAGAATTCGTAAATTCCCTGTTCCAAAACCGAAGAAAAACTTCTGACAGTGCGGGAACTTTGCCAGACCCTCCCCGTCTGACTTTTCCAGTGTTTTTCAGGTGCCATCAAATGTCCTTTTTATAGCTGCGCAGGGGTGGGCCCTGCTCCTGCCGTTTTTCTAACGACAGGGTTTACTGTACTTTTTTTTTTTTTTTTTTTTTTTTGTTTTTCTTTTTAACCATCTTGCCTAATATGTAGATTAACTTTTCTGTTTTTTTATTTTGTAATGTCAATGGCATTGCCAGCCTATCCCCCATAGGGCTCTTTCTGGTGGAGAGTGATCAGGCTGGGTTTATGGTGTAATCATATTTCCCCTTCCAAAGTCAGTCATCTTTTGTTACTTTTTTTATTCACTCTTATTTTTCTCTTCATGGCTTTTTTTTTTTTACTAGCTTCCTACCTATTCTTTACACCTGGCTCTCTTTCTTGGTATTCATCCTTCCCTACTTCCTCTCCCGATTCCTGCTCTTCCTCATCCTGCCCTGCGCTGGTGCAAATCCGACTGCTAGAAAGCACACAGGGAGATGGGTTAACCACGGCAGGGTTGGCGGCATGGGGGAACAAGGCTTTTACTGAGAGTTGTGTCCTGGTCTCTCATTTATGACGACCTGACTGTATTCACTTCTTGCCTTGTCTGGCGCTGAAAAGGGGAAAAAAGGACTTAAAAAATAAAAAAAAGCCAAAAAAGGATAAAAACTACTGAATAAAAGACAAGTGAAAAAAAAAAATGCTTTGTGTGGATCAGACATTATTATAAGTGTCAGTTAAGTGACCGTTTCATAGATTTGGGTTTATATCTCATGAATTTGAAGTCTCACCCTAATATTCTCCATTTCAGTGGAAAGGGTGTAATACTTGTATGTTCATTAAAGTGACAATTTAAGTGACACTTTAAAACACAGAGGTGTGCACATGCCTAGGAAGTGCTAGAATCTATGGTACTAAATATACAACTACCAACTTGGCAGTTCTGAAATGTTGGTTGTCACCTTCACAGTGGTAGAGAAACATAATGCATTGCATTGAAAAAATGCATTAATTTATTAAGAGAATGGCAGAGTGTTGACTTCAAGGCTGAAAAATGAAGCACCCAGTCTGCAGGCAGCTCTACATTTCTTTAGGTTTTTGCAATCATCTGAAAGCCTTTTAAGTGGCAGGTTTGCTTTATAGAAGAGCCTGCCATAGACATTAGTGCAATGAAATTTAAGTACAAAAAAGTACTGTTGTGGAAAGAATGAAATATTTTGTTTATCAAAGTCTACTTCATTTTAATTGCTGTTTGTTTCCCTGCCTGGAGACTTCCTGGTACAAGACACAAGGAGAAATTTCTCCAAAACCATGCATAGACAGCAGTGAAAACGACGTGTGTGCTGCTTTAAAACGCCATTTTCGTTTTTGATAGTGTAGCTCAGCAGGTCTGAACCAGAAAACAAAGGACTGCTTTCAAGATGCAGATGGAGTTTCCCCCTATTCTTTGTGTAACCTCTGTTGTCTTCCATAGTCTTTTAATAGAGGGAAATGGCAATAGTGAACATGTTGAGAAAAAGATGTTAATGATACGTGACTCTATCAACAGCCTCTCCTTTTTAAAGCAGTCTTAAAACCCAAAAGCAAATATTTATAATGCAGCTTCCCAATGCTTATATGATGGCTGAATTAGTTTCCTATAATTAGACTTGTTTCCTTCTAATTTTATCTGGCAAGTCTGTTGTATTTCAAAATCACAAGCTCTCCAGCAGAATTTATCAGTTTACATGGATGATACAGACCACTTAATACTTGCAGGGGTAAATAAAATGACTAGTTTTTATTTGTGTAAAACTTTTATCCCAGAAGAAAAAAAAACTGTAACTGAATATAAATGTGGGCTGTATTTTGGTTTCGGTTTGGTATTGTATTTCAATCTGCTAACGCATTCAACACCCCCTTCCCCAGAAGATGACAGTGCTGCTGCCCCCCCGTGCCTCCTGTGTTCATTCATCCACAGTGGTGTCTTGCTAATACAGGAGTTGTGTTACTGGGCAGATCACCAGGTAAAAACAAAAGGAAAAAGCCAAAAAGAAAACTAATGCAGGCACCACATTTAATGATCATGATCGGTAAGCTGCAATATACAGTGCATTTATAAAGTATTCAGACCCACTTCACTTTTTATCAATTTTTTTTTTTTGCAGCCTTATACAGTTGTTTAAATTCATTTTTTTTCTCAATCTACATTCAGTGCCCCATAATGACAAAATGAAAACAAAAGTTTGTGCATTTTATTAAAAGAAAAATCTGAAATATCACATGTACTTTAAGTATTTAGACCCTTTATTCAGTACTTAGTTGAAGCATGCAGCAATTACAGCCTGGAGTCTTTTTATGTATGACATGACAAGATTTGCACACCTAGATTGGGGAATTTTCTGCCATTCTTTGCAAATCCTCTCGATCTCAGTGAGGTTTGATGGGTACTGTTGGACAGCCATTTTCAGGTCTCTCCAGAGATGTTCAAGTCAGGGCTCTGGCTGGGCCACTCTAGAACATTCACAGAGTTGTCCCTAAGCCACTTCTGTGTTCTCTGTGTGCTTAGGATCATTGCAATGTTGGAAGGTGAACCTTTGGCCCAGTCTGAGGTCCAGAGCACTGTGAAACAGGTTTTCATTGCGGAAATCTCTCTACTTTGCTCCGTTCAGCTTTCCCTCAACCCCAGTTCCTGCTGCTGAAAAACACCCCCATAGCATGATCCTGCCACGATCATGCTTCACTGTTGGGATGGTATTAGGCAGGTGATGAGCGGTGCCTGGTTTCCTCCACACATAACATTTAGAACTGAGGCCAAACAGTTCAATCTTGGTTTCATCAGACCAGAGAATCTTGTTCCTCACAATCTGAGAGTTCTTCAGGTGCTTTTTTGTTTTGCAAATATAAGCAGGCTTTCATGTTTTTCACTGAGGAGTGTCTTATGTCTAGTCACTCTGCCATAATGCCCAGATTGGTGGAGGGACTGCAGTGATGATTGACCTTCTGGAACTTTGTCCCATCTCCACACAAGATCTCTGGAGCTCAGAGTGTCCTTCGGGTTCTTGGTCACCTCTCTTACGAAGGCCCTTCTCCCCCAATTGCTCAGTTTGGCTGGACAACCAGCTCTTGGGAAAAGTCCTGGTTGTGCCAAATGTCTTTCATTTGAGCATTATGGAGGCCACTGTGTTCTTGGAAACCTTCAGTGCAGTGTAGCCTTCCCCAGATCTGTGCCTTGCAATAATCCTGTTCTCTGAGCTCTGCAGGCAATTTCTTTGACCTCATGGCTTTTGCTGTGAAACATTGTTAGCTGTGAGGCCTTTTATAGAGAGGTGTGTGCCTTTCCAAATCATGTCCAATCAATTTAATTTACCACGTGGACTCCAATCAAGGTGTAGAGATTTCTCAGCAATGATCAAGTGAAATGGGAGGCACCTGAGCTAAATTTGAAGTGTTGTTGCAAAGGGTCTGAATACTTATGCCAATGTGATATTTCAGTTTTTCCTTTTTCATACATTTTGCAAACCTTTCTTAAATTGTGTTTTCACTTTGTCATAATGGCGTAGATTAATGAGGAAAGATAAATTATTTTAAACAACTGTAGTATCAGACTGCAACACAACATTGAAGAGTGAAGGCAGTCTGAATACTTTATGAATGCACTGTAATACAATTTTGGTTTTCAGTTTAATGCCTCTTTAATACATCGTGCTTTCTTGTTAGCTTACCTTTTTGTTGACTTAACTTTTTTTTTTTTTTGTAGTTTCTCTGCCAATTTAGACGTTTTTAATTACTTTTGAAGCCACGTCTATGTGTATGTGCAGCATACTTTAAAAAAAAAAAAAAAAGTCTCTTATGCCTCTCTTGATATTTGTCCTAATTAGCAAGTACTAATCCTACCAATCAGGTACTCATTATACCACCCCATAGTACCCTGTGTGTAGTGAAATAATTAATCCTAAACTAGAGATGTAATTCAGAGAGCAGCTGTTTTTTTAGTAATCTTATGCCTTAAATGGTCACTAATGGTTTGGGGTCAGTTTTACCTGGTTTTTTTTCTTAAGGTTTTTTTTTTTTTTTTTTTTTTAAACACGACACAGGATTCCTAGAGCATTATGGAATAGATAAGAAGACAGCCCAGCAGACACTGCCAACTTTAGAACTCTGACTGAAACTTTAAACTAAACTGTCTGATAAGGAATAGGTCACTGTGATGAGTATGTAAATTCCAGCTTGAACTATTGAGTTTTATAAACAAGGGGCTTCTAAATGTGGAAAATGTGAGGGCCCGGTTTAAATGGGTTTTGCTCATCTTAACAACTGCTTCTCCCCCTTATACAAGTTTCTGGGAATACAAAAGGTACTTGAGGCAGGTCAAATGCACCTGTCCATAAATTCCAAATCTTATCAAAGTCTTGACCATGCCAAACAAAGGAATGGTGTCTAAAACCATAATACACTCTCTTTAACTGCCTCCCACCCGCTGTATAAGGAAATGACAGACAGGCGGGAGTGCTCTTGTTCTGGGAGGATGTCAGATGACGTTTTCCCACTCTATCTGCGCATGCGCACTCCGGTGATTGGCAGTGTGCTGTGTCTCTAGGACACAGCGGATCACTGATCGTAGTAAAGAGCCGATTGCGTAGGCTCTACCATGTGATCAGCTGTGTCCAATCACAGCTGATCAGATGTAAACAGAAAATGCTGGTTATCAGCAGTCCTTTCCTCATGCTGACAGTGTGTGAAGAGAGCTAGTAAGCGGCATTCCTTGGAGGGGACATCTATACTGATCATCAGTGCCCTGATTATCAGTGCAGCCACATATCGGTGCACATCAATGATGCCTGTCAGGTGCAGTCTATCAGTGCAGCCTCATCAGCACACATCAGTGAAGGAGAAA